TTGCCGGACAAAAAAAAAAAAAAAAAGAAAAAAAAAAAAAAAAAAAAAGAAAGGGAGTCGGTTTATTTTTGGAAACAGGCAAAAACTCTTTTGAGCTGTATTGCCTTGTAGAATTAGCGAACATGGTAGATTGTGCCCTATATTCTTTTTTTTGGATGGCTGTCCGGTACGGGAATCAAACCCTGGACCTTGCTGTTATCAGCACCACACTCTAACCACCTGAGCTAACCGGCCAGCCCCTATATTGCTCTATTTTTGAGTAAAATATGAGATGTCAACTTTATGTAAAGACGTTGTTCCTTTTTCCCCCCATCATAAGTAGACTCTAGAAGGAGCTCTATAGAGTTGCCTCTAAATTTTGAGCAATGTTACTATTGCTCTAGTAGGTATAAAGCATTTGAAGGTGGCTTTTCATTTATAGTCTGTCTTCATATTTTTTCAATAATTTATCATGTAAATTTTATTTTATTTTATTTTTTCTTTAAAAGACTGGTAAGGGGATCTACCCTTGGCTTGGTGGTGTTAGCACCACACTCTCCCAAGTGAGCCATGGGCCGGCCCTATCATGTAAATTTTCAAACATACAGCAAAGGCAGAAGAATTTTATGTATACCCACCACCTCAATTCTACTGTTAACATTTTATTGTGCTTATTTGATCACATGTTTATTCATCTAACCACCCTTCTAATCTAGGGGTTCTCAACTGGAGGCAGTTTTGCCACCCCTCCTCACTCCCCTCCTCCTCCCCCCTGGACATTTGGTTATCACTACTTAGGATGGGGGAGCTACTGGTATCTAGTTGGTAGAGGCAGGAAAGTTGTTAAACATCCTACACCATCCTACATCCAGGTCATAGGACAGCCCCTCATAACAAAAACTAACATAACATAACCAAAAACCCCCGCAACCATTTGGGCCAAAATGGCAGTGGCACACAAGTTGAGAAACTGCTCCAGTTCATCTGTTAATCCGTCTTATTTTACATTTCAAAGTAAATTGCAGACATAGGGACACTTCTCCCTAAATACTTTAGCATGCACCTATAAATATATATTTAATCCATATTTTATTATTCAGCACTACTTTTTAGAGCGTAGCTTTAATAATTGGTTATCTTTGTTAGTTTTTAAAATAGTCATTAAAAATGGTCCTTTGACATTTGCAGTAACATTTTCATTTTCACATGCTCAGTTTGACTTTCAAAAGACATATCCTTCTAAATTTTAGTGTAATCATGCTTAGAAAAAGCTCAATGACACTCATTCAGTTTAGAATTGAAGGCAAATAATTTTTCTCTTTGGCCAGACTCCAAATCCTAGTTGGACACTGTAGATAAGAAAGCCTTTTTTTTTTTTTTTTTTTTTTTTTTTTTTTTTTTTTTTTTTTTTTTTTTTTTTTTTTTTTTTTTTTTTTTTTTTTTTTTTTTTTTTTTTTTTTTTTTTTTTTTTTTTTTTTTTTTTTTTTTTTTTTTTTTTTTTTTTTTTTTTCTTATTGGTAAATGATGATTTTGAAAGCTTGAAACAATTTTTTTCATACTTTTTGTTTCAGGGAGAGATAAATAGTTCCATTTATGTAATTTTGTCTTTTAAATCTAAGTAACTTTTCAGTTGTTATTCATAGTCATTTGAAAACCTTTTTTGGCTCTGCAGGTGTTGTTTGTGGCAATTAACTGTTGGTGGAACCAGGGGAAATGCAGAAAACAGAAACACTTCTTTTATTTTCCTGTGATATATCTGTATCATCGAAGGTAAGAACTTTTAAGTAGTGTTTCTAATTTCAGTTAAGTTTGTCAATTTATAAATGAATTTTGCTTTTTTTCTATATAAACGTATGTATTAGATATTTACTGTAGAAAATTTAGAAAATACAGATAATCAAAAGTAAAAAGAGATCTCAATAATTTTATCAGCCATGTATAATCACTCTGGGTTTTGATTTATATCCTCCTGGGAATATATATGTCCACCCCATTTTTTTAAGTTAAAAACAGGTTCAGGCAGTAATACTACAAGGGTACTTCAAAAAGTTCATGGAAAGATTGTTTTTCCATGAACTTTTTGAAGTATGTTTGTATTTAAACTGCTTTTTCTCAGTTTTGTGAACATTTTTTCATGTCATTACATATTCTCTAGCATTGTTTTTAAAAGTACCCGTTTACTCCATTGTATGATTGTACATTGCAGATATTCTTAAAGTGTTTTACAGTATAAAAATACACAAAATTCCTTATCCGTTACCTGACGGCATAGCATAATCAAGTGGGAATCTTACCATCTTTTTATTGGGAAGAAAACTACTACACATCCACAATCCCATATCCACAATTCCAAAATCACAAAGAGGATGGATACACCAGAAGAGTTTAATAAATTTTGTCCCCAGATGCATTCATCTGGCTGTAAGTGACAAGAGACTTCCTATGGTCTTTATCCCACTTAAAGTGCCTCTTTATTCATTTTGCTGCAGAAATGTTGGTGTTCAGTTTTGGAGTACTGCCCAGGCTCTGCTGTGGTTATTAAGTAATGTCTAAAAATCTGACATGCAGGGGGGTTTTGGAGACAGGAGATAGGTTTTTAGATTTTGTTTGGTGTGATTGGCTTGAAGTTTGTTGAAAGTAAAACGGATAAAGGAGATTTGATTAGTAAGAGCTTTACTTTTTCCCTTTCTCTGAACTTCCTGGGCCTTGGCAGTGGGGATATATAGCAAACATCAACAAACTATCATTTGTGGATTCTCTGTCACATTCTACCCTACTTCCATGTCTCTAACATAACTCATTGTGTGGCACATAGTATTATCTCCCAGGAGCTATTAGATAGTATTTGGGTAAAAACACACTTTCCCACCCCATCTCTACCCCACAGTTTTCCTCTGGATATTAAATGTTTGTAATTTTCAATATGTGCTGTAATAAGCCAGTTTTTGCTTGTGGACCATTAAAACCATTTTCAGATTTGCCCCCTGCTTTTTGGCTAGTAATTTGGAGGTTCGACCTCTATTTTGAAGGTATTAAAGTGCAGGTTTTTTAGGATATGAGAATACTTTCTCAGAGTAACTTTCTCAAGGTTACTTCCTTTTATAAAGAAGTGTAAGGTATTGTACTTGGAGGTTCTAAAACTCTGCTCTGTAACAGGATGATGAGCTTGCCCTACTGAGGTCCCTGCATTTCTTTTTGGCTTTGGAAAACAAGAATACTTTCTCAGAGTAACTTTCTCAAGGTTACTTCCTTTTATAAAGAAGTGTAAGGTATGGTACTTGGAGGTTCTAAAACTCTGCTCTGTAACAGGATGATGAGCTTGCCCTACTGAGGTCCCTGCATTTCTTTTTGGCTTTGGAAAACGGCAAAGATGCCTAGCGGGGGTTATCATCCTTGCAGGCTGCTCAGAGATGGGCTTAACTTGATGTGACATTAAAATCAGAAGCGTTCTCTTGAATTGAGTACAAATGTCATTTTGGGATATATGGGTATACAGTATTACCATAACTACTTGTTTTCTTAGCTTTCGTAGAAAGATTGAAAGGACATGAGAGGAACTTAGACATATCTAGTCCAACCCGTTTGTTATACAGATGAGAAATTTGAGGTTGGTACTCACCTCGAGATGCTGCCTCTCACCTTTGCCTTGTTAGCTTTGACAGCTCACTATGACCCTCTTACCATCATGCCAGGAAAACTCAGCAAAGTCTGTTTGCTTGAGTAGATGAGGTTCCCAGATTCGTTATCTCCTTTTTGCTGAGCAAAATAAGTTATTAGATACTTTTTTTGCTTTCCTCCCTCAAATTAAAAATTGCTGTTGGTTGATGGGGTTAGTGGTGGTGGTGGTGGCAATTTTCAAAGTGAACTAATTTGTAGTAAATCTTGAATTGATAGAATTCTTAACCCCGTCTCCCAGCTGTGCATGTAGTATGCTGTTTTTCCTTGCTTCATGCTAATATTCCTTTGGCATCACACTCTGCAGTGCACACTGAAGAATTGTGTTTATCTCATCATATTATATGTGTATATGGGTGTGAATTTCTGTAACCGTGTATTATAGTATTGTGATCACAGCATTTATATAATTCTTTCTTTACTCTGTTTATTATTGCTATTAACAGTAAACTTAATGTCAATTTCTGTTTAGAGAGCAGAATGATTATGCAGTTGCTGAATTTCACTGTACTCCCCCACCTCTGCCACCTACCATCCAGTTACATCTGAGCAGTGTCTGGTATTGTGTGAGATTGAAAAGAGCCATGTGAGAATACCGATTAGCTTAGGAGGATAATTGAGTGGTGGTGATATTAGTATTGAATTAAATTCCTGTGCATCCCCAAGCACAACTGGAAGGGAAAGGAAGGAAGATAATTTATATAGGACCCTGACTTCATACCTTCATGTAACTTTTTTGTTGTTATAGCAATAAAGCTTTATATAGGTTTAAGATTTACTTAGTAATCCTTTGTGTAAGTGCCTATGGGAATATTTAATAAGTACTTTTTAGTAGGTGAAGAGCCAACTGTTCAACTTGTTTCTTATTTCAGAGTGATCTGTAAAAGAAAAGCCTGCCCAACTATGTTGAACTGAATAGTTAAGATCCTATAATCTTGTAGCATGTGGTCAATTTCCAGGGCCACCTTTCTCTTTTTATTTATTTATTATTTATTTTAAAGAAATATTGTGGGAATTAATTTCTTTTTTCGGAGACTGTCAGGATGAATGTTCTTTGGAAATTCAGTTTGTAGTTGAATTAAGCTCACAGAAGGGAAACGGCTGCTTGGACCTCCCTTCACCTAAAAAGCTTATCAGTCACTTCCTGAACAAAGCAGGCTACTTATTATGACCCAATCAGGTCATGAACCCAGACATTTTCATTTTTTGGTGTTGATGATTTTAGTTATATATTACAGGTTTACTGCATGGTGTATTATTTTTATTTTTTTATTTTTATTTTTTGGGTACTAGTTTTGGACCAATCGAATACAAAGGCCCCATGAGTGCTGTTTACATTGAGAAGTTTGTCCGCCGGGTGATGAAACCACTTCTCTACATCCCATCTCAATCAGAATTACTAGATTTTCTCTCAAACTACGAGGAACCT